GCGGCCCCCCAGTGGCCCCCGAGCCGAAATTCATAACCCGCGGCCGATTAAGGTCAATTGCGGTTGGAAAATACATAAAGAGTTAGAGTCCGCATAATTTTTAAAATAAATTGACACGGTGAACTTTCCGCTGCTTTCACCAATGCGCCCGTGTTAATTTTATGTTACTAAATTTTCAAAGCACATTTCTACTGATTTGCATTTACATTAAAAAAAATATGCAAAAAATTTATTCCCGCATGTAACACAATTGCACGCGCCTTTTCTGACCACCATGGGGTGATTCAAAATTAAATTTGGGAATTTTTTACTATTTTCATTCAATATGGCACGGACGTCTTTCCCGCGGTCGCGGCAAAGACGCGCGCGTTCCAATGTGATTCCCGCGGGTTAAAATCACACGCGCTACGATGCTGCTACAGGGTGCGCCAAAGCTAACTATGAAAATTTTAGAAAAAACTTTTTAATTATGTTATGTACAAGTCATGGGCATTATTTATGTCAATTTAGGTTCGTGGCCCATTATAGGGTGCTCCAAAGTTAACTTGGAAATTTTGTAAGGGGCTAAAAATGATTATACCCAAGAGTTTCATGCCGGTTTTGCAAGTGCTAAGGGGTCAATTGCCCAGTGTAGGGTGCTCCAAAACATTCCCCCTAAATTTATAAAGGCATTCAAGTACATTAAAATCGAGGAGCTTGCAAGGGGTTTCAAGGTTCATGAGGGTAGGTTGCCCAGTATAGGGTTTTCCAAATCCAACTTTTAAAATTTCTTGGGGGTGATTCAAGTAAATTACGAAACGACGATTTCACGAGGGGTTCGCATGTAAATCAGGGGTAATTACAAGGTAAAGGGTGTTCCAAAATGGGCCTCAAAATCTTTTTAAGAGGTTTCAAATAAATTGCGCCCCACGGTTTCACGCGGCTTCTGCAAGAAAATAAGAGATAGTTATCCAGTATAGGGTGTTCCAAAGCAAACTTTAACATAATTTAGAAGTTAAAAAACGATATACAACCACGAGACTTCCACGCGCGATTCGCAAGTTCACGCGGAAGGGCTGACCACGCTAGGGTGTTCCAAAGCTGACTTAGTGGATTTTTCATTACTTTGAAGACGACATTTTCCTAAGGGTCCCACGAGGGTGTGCAAGTAAATAAGGGGTAATTATCCAGTACAGGGTGTTCCAAAATGAACTTTGAAAATTTTATAAGGGTCTCGCGAGAACGTTGAAACCGAGGATCTTACGATGGGTAACCAAGTCAAGGAGGGGTAATTGCCCGGTCTAGGGTGCTCCAAAGCAAACTTTGAAATCTTTTGAAAGTTTTCAAGGCCTTTACAAACCAAGGGGTCCACGCGGGTTCCCCAAGGCCCCCGGGTTGAATGCCCACTACAGGGTGTTCCAATGCTGACTCTGAGGGTTTTTGATTTCATTCAATATAACTTTCTCCCGAGGGTTTCCCGCGCGGTTTGCACGTTCCCGCGGGTTGAGGGGCCTGTGTAGGGTGTTCCAATGCCAACTTTGCGGGGGTTTTGGTTACTTTGGAGACGACTTCCCCCCGTAGTTTCCCGCGCTTTTTGCACCAAGCCGACGCTTCGTTAACTGCTACAGAGGGTTCGTCGGCTTAAACTCTGGCCGATTTCGCAACTTTCGGGCCGATTCGACTCGCGCGGGTTTCCCGCGCGTTCCTTGACCTTCCTCCCTTCAACTTATAGCCTACAGGGTGTTCCAAATGGATTCTTTACGCTGATTTTTGTCTTTTTTCTCGTTTTTCTCGTTTTTAAACGTTATTTCTTTTCCTTCTCTCCAATTTAATTAAAATTTTAAATAAATTTAGAATACAGTCCCACAACAACATTCCGAAAATGCTTGCGTTTAACGCAAGTGCGAAGCGCTTGTTTTTTCAACTAATTATTGTGTTAAATTTGAATTTCTATTTATATATTTGCAGCTACTGAAACAGACGGTTGGTGGCAAGAAATAATAAATTAAATCAGCGTTTTCAAAACAATTTTATTGTGGCAACAATGAGAGAGATGCGAAGACAATGGAAACAAAAGCTGCTCACCGCAGGAAACGGGTGTAGGCTTTTTGCTCGGCGGCGGCGTAACGCGGGTTGCATAAGCTCGCACACCCCTGGCGTTTTGTTTGTTGCTCGCATTCAAGGGCTTTTTTCGCGCTTCCAGCTGCTTTTATTAGCGTATTATGCAAAGAATTTTCCGCGGAAAATGCGCGGTCGACGAGCATATTTTAATTTCGCATGTTTGCCCGAACAGCTTTGTTGAGTGGAAAATAATAATTTTATAAATTTGCACACGGCTCGACGAACGCAAATATTCGGCAATTAATTCAAAATATTCGGGCAAAAAGGTTGGAATTCGGAGCGGCCGGATCAGCTGTTTTCGCAGACGGCGGTCTTGACGTTGTTGTCGCTGGTCATCTGATTGGAGGCAGGTCATCGAAGAGAGTGACGTCAGAGCAAATCTTGCTTCGACCCAGCTGAGCCATAATCCGGCTGGCCGAAAACAAATTAAAACAAATGAGCCCCCGGTTTATTTTGCAGCCGATCAAAAAACACACACAGCAGCGGCCGGCGGCGGCGTTGATTAGTTTTTATTTTGGAATAAAACCGGCGCGCGGCTAAATCAACATAAATGATGCGCGAGTTATTTTTAATGCGGGCCTGATCAATAGTAATGAGATGGGCCTAATTGAATCATACACGCACATGCACGCCGGATCGCAATTGACACGCGAGGCTCCGCCCTGGGCGCTTCCATTGGTCGGGTCGTCTCGCATGGAATCGCGGCTTCACCCCCTCGCACCACCCACATCGAACCGCACCACGTGCAGGCAGGGGTTGCCAACCCCTTATCTAGTCCCGCCAGTGCCATTCCTCTTTTCCAGAAGCAATAATTTCAATTCTTAATCCATTCTACTTTTATTTTTACTGAATTACTCTGTTTTATTAATTAAGCACTAGATCTTATTCTTCCATAATCATATATCCTGGAATATTTCAAATAAGTTCCTTGAAGTAAAGATAAGAAAGAAAAATTAATTTTGCAACAGCTGCTCAGTAGATTTTTTAATTTAAACATTTGTCCTGCAGAGGATTTTCAAGTTGTATAAAATGACAAATAAATCTAGAGGAATTAATCAAATATCGTGTAATGTAGAATTTCAAGTTCATTAATTTTTTTTCTTTACGTTTTCTACAAATTAGCTTCGAACAATGCTGAACTATTAAATCTTGAATTTTCTTCTTTAGAGATATTTTACATGAAACATAATAATTAATATCTTATAACATTATTTATTATCAGTAACGAGAGCATTTGAGCGAAACTCAAAAACATGATTTTTTTCAAACCAAAAAATTTATTCAAGTAAAGGTTTAAAATTTTTTTAGATTTTAATGAAATATACATAAATTGTAACAACATAATTAATAAGATAACTATTTTATGTATTTACTAAAAATAAACCATTCTTATTATTTGAATTAATTAAATATTATTTTAATTATATAACTTTTCTGCACTTTACTATTAAAATAAAATTTTATGAAATAACAACGCTCGTAATTTTTCTATATTTTCACCTGTAACAGGAACTAAATATACATTGATATCATCTATCATGTAAAAAAATACTGAATGGAGCATAAATACTTCTCACTTAGCATTTTTTACCTGAGTCCTGAGCAAGGATTATTTATAAAATCAAATATATTTTACAATCATTCAAACCTAAACCTACGCGTCTGCTCAATGTTGGATAATTATTAGGAAAAGGAGAATAAATCAAATAAAAGTGAAACATAATAATTTTATATGCCACACATTTTAAAGTAGAACATTTTCCAATTTAAATTCCGTTTCAGACAAGATTCTACATATAAAGATTATAATCTCTCAATATATTAATTATCAAAGCAAACTTGAGTCTATAAATTTCGTCATGAAAATAAAACATGTTGCTGCTTTCAATTAGCAATTTAAGTGTTAAGGCATTACTTTGGTATTTAGAGTTTCTACAAAAGCGTGAGCTGCGCACCTGGAGAGAGAGAGTCCGTTTGGAAAGTTGTGCGCGAACGAGAAAGCACCTCTCAAGCTGCGAACAAACAAGCCGACGCAAAACTCAAAGGGGCAAAAACATAATATTTGTTTGCGCGGCGAAACCAAAAACTTTGGTGCGCAAAACGCTGGAGACAAAGTTTTCTGCCGCTTTTGTTTTATTAGCATGCATAATTTGGGTGTTTGCTCAGCACGGTGTGTATCAAGGCGATTTAATTAGATATTAATGTTTATTTATTACTCAAGAGAGAAAGGGTCTCTCTCTCTCTTTCGCTGCTCTGATATTGAGTTTCTTCTTGTTGGCCGAAAAGGAAAGAGCTGCAGGTGCTGGCTATATTTACCCTCGGCCCAGCAGCTTGCTTTTTCCCCGGGAAAAGAGAGGAAAATAGATAGAGGTGGCTTGCTTGGGCGTGGCTCAATTTTATCTAGAACTAGAGCCGTCCGTTTCCGCATGACAAGAGACGGGCACGAGTAATGCCTTTGGCTCTCTCTCGGCCGGATTGGACGCAAAGTCGAGGAAAAAGCGGCGGCGGCGGCGGCCGTGCCTGCGCGTTTTGCTTCTTCTTTTTGATGTCAGAAAAGGCTCGCCTGCTTTTAGTTGGAGCGGCCGACCGTCCTTTCACAACCGGGGACGTGAATAAGAAGAGATAAATTTCGACTTGAATTTCTAATGTTTGGGCAGCCAGCGAGAAAAGGGTTGCCGGATTTAGTTCGAAAGGGAAAGTCCGAAAGTAGCAGAAATTTCCAGGGATTAACTCGTCTGGAACAAAATAACCCTACTTTTTAACCCAAATTATTGTCGATTTCAGATGTGGCATGACATAATTTTAGTATTAGTTTTGAAATTCAATCTTTAAAAATATGATTATTATAAAAGTAATGAAAGATTTAAAAGAAATTATTTATTAAATAGGTTTATTCGGATTATTTCTTCAATTTTAACGAGCTTTATGCATCCCGTGAAACACACATAAAGAAAGTTCTTAATCAAAACTTTCTAATTTTGGAATTTCGGTTAGAATAATTACAAGAATGCGTTCAGAGCTTCCCATGTTGGGTGGTACTTCTAATTTTACTTCGCAGGAATAGTACCCGTCAAAAGCTGCCCACCCCATAATTATTTCTTAATTTTGATTTCCGATTTCATAATGGAAATTTGAATGCAACCCTGCCAGTGGCAAAATAAAAATGTTATGAATATAAAATTCAATATATTTTGTGTTTATTAAGTTTCTTTTATCACAAGTTAAAAACTTCTAGTCATAATTCAATAAAATATGGACCCCAAAATCAGTTATCAAATTGATTTGGAAGATTTTAAGTGTCTTTCAATGAAAGCAAATTGAAAAAAATATATTCGTACCAAAATAATTGCACGTATATGAAGTATTGAGAGCTATAAATTTATTACAGTCTGTGTTACTTGTCCTTATCCTTTTATATAGTTCTTGATGGTATTTCTTTCACGGTAATTTTAACATAATTATTAGATGTAGAAAATATTTCCATTTAATGCCATTAAAATAAAGAATTATGAGCATTCAATAATATTGTTTTCCTAACTTTCCAAATATAAATTACATTTGAAAATAAACTCGGAATTACATTTAATAAACCAAGTATTTCTATTTTTAGTTTACAAACCAAAAACAACCAGTTCATACAAATCAGCACATTTTGGCTGAATTTTGATACAAAAATTAAATATAATATAATATCGATTTCAAGCGTTTTCTTTTGGGCTAGAACAAGGACCACCGCGGGTGTGGGACGCACATGAATAAGAAGAGATAAATTTGAAGCAGAAATTCAAATGTTTGAGCAGGGAGGAGAGAGAGAGAAATGTAATATAAATTGGATGGAACGCTCTTCGGCTGCGGTGGCAGCGGCGGCGCGCGGCACAGCCGAGTTATTTTCTCAAGTTATATAATATTCCATCTGAAGCGAGTGAGCGGCGCACGTCATCTCAAAAGCATCAAAAACCACCCACCCACCAGCATCCCTTGCCTGTCTGTATAAATTCCATCTTCTCTAATTTCCTTGCGTGCGTGCCGCCGTTTCCAGCAGCCAATGGCGGCGCCGCTTTTCCATAGAAACATATCAAAATGTCAATCAGAAGAGCAGAGAGACTCAAGCACAATCACACTGGCAACGTCAAAATTTGATTTGCGCGCCGCTGAGCCTTTTGATCTTTGAGCAGAGTTTCTCAAAACCCACCCTAAGCAGCTTACTTTTCGCTTTGAAACAGAATTTCAATCCGCCGCAAACGCCATATTTTTTGGCATAATTTTTCCGGCTCCCGGCCGTCTCGCAGCACCTTTGCCAAAATCAAAGCTCTAATTATCTTGGAGCTGTAAGGAAGTTTTCGTCTTGCGCTTGAGCTTCTCTCTTCCACGGGCGAATAATGTCAAAAGCTTCCAGACCCGTCACTCATTCCCTCGCTAATTAATGACCACAAAGAGCTCCTCCGACTTCTGATTCCTCATTAAGGAGTGCACGCTGGCAGGTAACATCGCAGCAAACGCACGCCAGCCAGCTTCACGCTCAAAGTCAGTCAGTGTCTGAAAAAAAGAAAAAATTATGTTAAGGAAAAAGAAAAATTGGAAAAAATAATTTAAAAAATAAATATGTATTAATCACTTTGAACAATTTATATTTATCATATAAAAATCATTTTTTTGAAGAGATAAAATTTGTAGTGAAATAGTGCGAATTAATTATAGAAAACAACCGTTGAATGATTATGATGAATTCAATGAAAATAAACAAACCAGATCAAAACCCAAATGAAGGAATGTGAAGTGATTAAAATAATACCTCTCATCTTTACTTTTAAGTAAGGGATTTAATGTTGATTGCGCAGTGATTGCTACAGTATTTGAATTTAAGTTGAAAAATTAGAGAGAAGTTGCCTTAACTTTAGTTTTCGATAAAAAAGAATGGTTTATTTATGTTCTTATTCTTTGATAAAATTTGTGTTAACAATGTTTTAACAAAACTAATAATAATAAATTTTTATTTTTATTTAATAATTGTTGTTTTGGTTTTTTTTATTTTTCTTATTGGTGGATTGGATAAAGTGATATAGTGCCTTAACACATGAATATAATATGCAACAATAACTTAATATCACTCCATCTTTTCTGTAATGTGAATAGCGTTCCTCACATAAAATTTATTTCAAATTTAAAAGCAACAAGCAACTTGGAAACTTGATACTGATTCTCAGAAACCTCATCGTTCCCTGCAACTTTTGCTTTGTGTTAGACTCGAGATGATTTAGCAATATGAAGCCAAATTAACGCCGGCTTATTTTTCTGTCAAAGCAAAACAGAGAAACTCTGCCGGCAGCTGCAAACTCGATGAGAGGCTCCTCCATACACTAATAATATGGCAAGACGAGTTTGCTTGCTGTGTTTTCATTTGGCTGCTCAAATTTCAACTTCTCGCCGCCGCCGCCGCGAACGTATACGTCTTATCAAAATACACAAGATAGAGAATGGCGGCGGAATGAAATTTGCTGCTTGTCTTAGATGCGAGCAAGTTGATAGCGGAAGAAGTGTGCGTTAGTGTATGCATGAATATTCCGCACTCTGGAGTCACACACACACACACACCCACTCTGCTCTCATCCAACAGAGATAACAGCAGCCAAAGTTAATTATAAACTAGCAAACATCTTATATCATGCATGCACACGTGCGCGCCACAAAGCCAGAGATTTTTGCTTCAACACGACACTTGGAGTGGAAATTCGTGCTTCTCTTGCTTGCCCTTTGCAAAATGCTACTTTATGCGCTAAAATTTCCACTGCTGTGAATGCAGACGGCTGAGCTGGAAACTCGCAAAACAATTTCTCATGCCGTCGTCGCCACAGGAAGTTTAACAATTGGGCTTTTCCGCCGCCGCCGCGTGCAGCCCAGCTCGGTTTGTTTGTATTGCGCCCCTCGCTCGCGTTATTTTAAATTAGTTTGCCTCTGTCTGGGTGAAACGGGTGGTTTGCTTTTCATCTCTTCAGACAAGCTTCAAATTGTTTTAATTTTAAGTGAAAGAATTATTTAATTTGAGAAGCATAACAGTCTCCAACAAAAACAGAGTTTCGTAGTCTCCGCACAATTTTTTTTTGTCTTGATATTATTCATCAAGAATTATTTTTACCAGGGTTTCGGAGCGGGAGCGTTTTGGAGCGGCGCAAACGCTCCTTGGAGCGTTTTTAGCAAAGGAGCGCTGGGTGGCGCTCCGAGGAGCGCAGGAGCGTTTTTTCTACCGCTCCGAGGAGCGTTTGCTCCAAGGAGCGTTTTCCTAAAGCGCTCCAAGGAGCGCTCGCTCCTGGAGCGTTTTGTCTTGGAGCGTTTTGCTCCTTGGCGCATTTCCTATTAAAATGGTCAATATTCATCCCATTCCTTAAGAAAAAATTTATATATTGATTAAGATTCGGATATTTTTTCAAAATTTTTTTTGCATAATTTATTTTAGATCTGATGTAATAAATTGACAAACTCAGTTATTACTCAATCTTTTATAGTCAGATAGATATCATTATACAAAGATTTTATTTTTTGCGTATAGTACCAGGATATCATGCGCTCTTAAAGGTATGCCTTCGAGACGTGTGCTTGAAATACATTTGAAAACCAAGCCCACCCTCGCTCATTGAGCTCTTGCTGACATGTGTCCTGCCAGTTGTTAAATAGAATTCTCAGAAGGAGAATGGTTTTAGAGTTGTCGTGTTTTTCTCTTCTCTTTTATTATTATTTTTCTGACCACTGGTGAATCATACACCCTATTTCAAACTTGAAAAGTTATGCGAAGCAGAAAAAAAGGATTTTCTCCCTACACACGGAAGATCAAGCAATACGCGGCAGTGCTTGTTCCTGTAAGGATGACAAGCTACCCCCTGCTGATGAGAAATATTTTCTTATAGCGTCAGCTCAGGTCGTTTTCCTACTACTTAAGCCCGAAACCTCTTATATCAACTGAACAAAGGAAGGTGCAAACACGAAAATGTCGTCCTAGTTTCTTAGAATCGATCTTTTTAAAATCCTATTTAACAACTGAGTGATTTGACAAATTTAATGTATATTATGAGTCCATACAAGAAATAACACTTAAAAAATGTCACAGGCCCTTTCCTGGCTTTAAAAGAAGATTTACGAGCACACCTCTTTTTGCTGCATGTTTTCCTGATAAGATATACTTAATAAATAGCTTCTTAAAAGAGCCTTTTAATAAATCATTTCATTAATTTAATATAGTGAAAAATGATTTTCATATGCGTGGAATTTTATTTAAATTTTTAATCAATTTAAAATACTAAATATTAAATTGACTTTCATTATAAATCATGAATTTGATCTTACGCAAACGCTCATAGTGCGCAAGCGCGTCCAATTTCACCAAGCGAGGAGCCCACGAGGAGCGTTTGCTCCAAGGAGCGCTTTGTACCGCTCCTAGGAGCGCTATCTCCCAGGAGCGTTTGCTCCTTGGAGCGCAGGAGCGTTTGCGCTGAGGAGCGTTCGCTCCTAGGAGCGCAGGAGCGTTTCCGCTGAGGAGCGTTCGCTCCAAGGAGCGCAGGAGCGTTTTGAAATTCACCGCTCCGAAACCCTGATTTTTACTTTTATACGAGTGTAAAAATTTAAATAATTCCTACATGTGCTTGATGTACTTAAATTTAGAGTTTAAATCATAATGAAATAACAAAAAAATGTTATTAAAACAAAAAACAAATTAATAGCTTAAAATAATTATTATAATAATAATAATTATAATATATTATTAATATTAAATGGCTAAATTTGCTTTTTTCCCCTTTTAACGAATTATTGCATTTTGGTCATTAAATTAATTAAATTTGGCTTCTTATATGAATCTCTCAATTCATTTTCGTTTCAAGAATGAATTTAAATATACTATTTCAAAAAGGGACAAGATGAAATTTAATGTTAAGTGCAAATTAAATTCAGTGAGTGGTTGCAGCCTTATTGTCACTAATTATTTTTCACCAGGCTCATTAAATGGAACGCAAAAATAATTAACAAAAATTATGCTACAATTTGAAAATAAAAATTTGATTCTAAGGAAAACTGCATTGTTTCAATAATGCTTAATTAAAATAGAACAATTTCGTGGTTTTACTCTGAAAAACTCATTCCCATTACATACAAGAGGATCATAATCCAGTTTTATCAACTCCTCATTACATGTATATATGAATTTGAAATAAAGGCATATAATGTAAAGACGAATTACAAATATTTTCCATGAAATAAATTCTCTCGACTGTGAGTATAAAGTGAAGAAATTAAAAGGCCTATAATAATAAATTAATAAAAAGAAAACAGAAGTTCATAATATTTTAATGAAATAAACACGCCCTTCTGAATAACATTTAGAAAATTTCCAATTTGTATATTAATTATTTCCAATTGAAATTTTCGGCTTTCCATATTGACTCTGACAACATTGAAGCCTTCGGAGAAACCAAATTTGCGAAACACTACAGAGGAAATAATTTTGTTTGGGGCGCGTCAGCAATCATTTTGCCTGAAACCTCACCTGCTTTCTCGAGCAACTCACAAAGCTGTCTCTCTCATTTGTGCAAGAAGTGTTCACATACAATTAATAATTAATTTCCAATCAGCAATTTGATTAACGCTGCTCGAGATGTATCACTCGGAGCTGTCTAAACAATGCTTATCGCGAGACTTATTACGCGGCTCATGCAATTAACGAGGCGGCGCTGACGTCAATTTCAGCCAAAGGGCTAAAAATCGCGCGGCGCTAATAACGCAGGTAGCAAGGCGGCGCCAAATGGATTCTCTTTGCTTGAGCGCCGCTTTCATCATCAAAGTTTAACCACTTTTAGATTGAATATTAATTGCATTTGGGATTTATTAGACTTTAATTAAACTTGGGTTTGTAGGTGATGTGTGGCGAGAGAGCTTCCCTCTTGACGCGTCTTTCTCGCTCCAGCGCACACACACGCGATAGAGAGAGAGCAAATTGGAAAATCGGAAAGTAAAACTGCGACGTCGCACCTCGTCTCGGCCGGAATTAGCACTCGCACGTTTATGTCCGGCTTGAGCAATTGGGTCTCTGGTGGGCCACTTTCCGAGCGAGTTCCACGTCGGTCATTCAGCTCAAGTTTGAGAAAGTGTCCGTCGGCCATAAACTCTCCTTAATGGCGTTATTGCGGTGAAATGTGTATTAAGTAATCACAAGTTTATGCAATGCTTTTAGCCTGCGTCGTGCTGCAATTTTATGGTTTTGCAGCTGTCTTGCTCATTTTAACTTGATCCCCTTGGGAAAAATATTACCTCAGCTGGCCCATCTCAAACTTTTGTAATCGGGCAAAACTTGTTGATTTTTAATTCATAAATGATAAATTCCGTCACGAGATTGTGCCACTGAAAACAGCGAGAAATGTGATTGAATTTTGATAGAGAATAAACCTCATTTTATATTTTATTTTACATTTAAAGAAAAATAAGTTAAAAACTTTGGGGGAAAAATTAAAAATTTATAATAATTAAATTAATGAGGTGAAATCAAAATGATGCAAATAATCAAGATACAAGAGCTTTTTTGAATAAAAAAATTTGTCAGCGAGGACACGCCTGTTTTCTTCATTTTAAATTTTAATAATATAATTTATTATTTTTTAAAGAATAAATTATTGTTTTTCCAATTTTTCATGTTCAAAGCGTTTAAAATAATCCAGTTGAATTAAATTATAAAAAAGTTCCCTTCATCTGAACTAATTAATCGAAATTTCCTCATACAAAGTTTCATATTCTAATTTTTATTGAATTTCTTCTTTAAATAAAAAAACAAAACAAAAATCTATTTTTCCCAGCAGGCAATTTGCGGAAATGCAGAGAGAAATTAAGCTTGTTAGCTTGGTCTGGTGCTACTCACATGTATAAGGCCCAGGAATGCGATTCGCAGACAAAGGTACATAAACGTTTTTGCACCGAGAGCTGTTAAGTTGTTTTGGCTCTCGGCACCAAGAGCAACTAGTGCGGTCAGTTCATGAAGGCCATTATCAAGGCAGTTAGATGGAGAGATAATCACCTTTGCATTCCGACGCGAGTAGTCCAGAGATTTGCACTTATTCGAGTGAGTGTTTCTCTCCATCTCACTTCAAAAGCCAGCAGCGAATATATTTATAAAAGAGCAGGAAAATTCATACACGTATTTTTCGCACACGCGGGGAGAGGCGATTCATGTAAAATATTTCAAAAAGAGAAAGAGAGGGATGTGTGCCGTTCGTTACGCTTGAGCGTAATCCGCTCACTCAGCCAAAATTTTAAGCAGCTTTATTTCAGGTGGAAATGCAGAATTGAAATAAATCGCCGTGGCAACAGCACCCTTTCCTAATTTTCAGCTTCCGTACGAAAATAAAGAGCCGCCGCTCGAGTGCTTTTAATTCAATTAAGAGGCAAAAATGTCGCACCATTTATTTTCCCTCGCTCTCCACGAGTGGAAACAAAAAGACGCAGTCAGTGTGGGCAAAAGGCAGGTATTTCAGAATTTATTTTGCTCTATTCATGTTGCGACAAAAAGGGTAGGAATCAATGTGAAAATTTAATCACAAAATAAAAGAAATTAAGTAAAGATTTTTAAATAAAAATTAAAAAACAAACTGTTCTAATGCAAGTTTAGCAAATAGTATAAAATTGTAAAAATTAGAGAAATGTAAATATTTAAAATTAGATACTTTAAAATTTTTATTTTTCTCCTGAAATTTTTCAAATTTAAATGCTCTTCTATCAAAAAATATTTCTGAGCTTTAAAATTTTCTTTCTTTAAATTATCAAAATATAATTATAATATAATTTTATGTCTCAAATGCAAATTTCCATCACACACCCCAAGACACACCCCTAGAGGTCTACACCTCGTCGTCGAAAAATCAATAGTGGGAATAGAATGTTTTACAAAATACTAAACAGTTAATTAAACTACAAAATATATTAAATTAATTATTTTTTAAATATTTAGCAAAAACAAATAAGTCATTATTAAAAATAACAGAAATTTATAAAATTATTTATTAAAATATTTTTAATCACATACTTAAATTTTGTGGTTACTTGATAAGAATTATTACAATATTAAGCCACTCAAACTAAAATTAAGTTACTTTACAACTTTCAGACACAAAATTTCCAATATTTGTCTTTGCTTGCAGCATTATTTTCTTCTTCACGTTTAAGGTTTTTTTATATACTTGCCTAATATATTCCATGGCAATAATGGCTCGTTTGCTTTTATTATGTAATTTAATTTACCATCATGGAAAATCATTTTCTCATTTAATCTAAGCAATATTAGATTACGGGAGGAAAATTCTAACGATTTTTCATGTCAAGATTCAAAATTTTAACTTCAAACCCACTAGAATTAACTGAACTTATATACTTGATTTTTAATTACAAAATTAGGAAATGAGAAAACGCCATTTTGTGAGTCGTGCGAGGGAGATATTGAATTGATGATGGGGTGTGCGGGGGGTGCACGGGTGGAAGCCCGTCAAGTGTGATTGCTCTGCTCGCGAGCGATACTCACTTAAATGTGCCTCTTGATATGTATTCACGTAAGAAACTCGGCGCGCTCCACTCCCTGCTCCCGTCAGTAAGTCAATTTCCTCTTTTCCTAGTCGGGCAAGACAGATAGAACTAAATAAATTATACGAGAGAGCATCAAAGCGAGAGAGCTCGAAGGAAATTGAAATGACTCAAGACAAACACAAGTCTAAATTAATTATTAGAATATACGTCCATTATTTATTTCAATGTGGAAGAGGAATGAGGCAGAAAGGCAACATTTGATTGTGAGCGTAATCAAGAAATAATGCTGAAAGCAAAGACAAATATTTAATTTGTGTGTTTGAAAGTTGTTCAAGTAAATGAATAATTTGAGTGCATTAATATTGAAATAGTACTTAACAATGTATGTTTAAAATTCTAAATATAAGTTTAATAACTGATATTATGTACGTTATTATTTATAATGAGTTATTTATTTTTTACAGTTTATTTTAAGTTAAATTATATTAAGATATTTTTGTTTTAAATAAATACTTATAGTATCTGTAAAACATTCTATTCCAGATTTCTATGACTATGAGAAAATAGTTTGTTGCTAAATTTTATTTTTACAATAAATTTAATATATATTAGACTAGGAGTGCTATCTGATATTATTTAAAATTATTGATAGATCTATATTGAATATCTTCACATTTGAGTTATAAAATTGAAAGTTGTTATTCATCATTAAAAGAAGACAAAAAATCTTAGCTTTGAAATATTTAAATTTCACACAAAAGAATTCAGCACGTCGATCAATAGTTAAATTGACACACACACACATACACACACATAAAATTTAAAATCTTATTATAACAGAAAATTAAATTTAGCTCACATATTTTTAACCCACATATTTAATAATTTAGCTCTTTAATTGCACCAAATTTCCCATTCATACAGAATTTATGTGTCTCTATAAGAAAAATTTAATCCAACATCACCATTTAATATAAATTAATCCCAATTGACGCCGGAAAATTACACAAGCAGGTTAAAAGACATGAATGATTAAAGATAAAACCCTCTCGTCAAATGAGTCCTCCGCAGCAAAGTTTGGATGCGCGTTCATCATTACGAGGAACGTCACAGCGGGCAAATTTCGTAAGAATGCTCCGCTCATTATGAGTAAGTGCTCTGCATATTGCATGAGAGAGACAAGCATGGCGGCGCAATATGAAAGTTTGTACTTATTAATGCAAAAAGCCCGAGGGAGAGAAGGTGCCGCCGCCGTTTTACAACAACTCGCTCCCTCTCTTTCTTTGAGCAGGCAAGGTGGGGTGCATAAAACTTTCATCGCTTCTCTAATGACAAAGGAACCGTATATATTGCGAGAAGGAAATGTGAGGTAAATATTTGATAATGCAGAAAGGAGCGTCGAGGCATTTATTGATTATTGGTTTTCTTGCAGCGCTGAGAGAGAGGAAAGCACGAATTTTGATTATTTCTCCCCCTGCTTGACGTGCATAGCTGGGGAGGTTTTATCCGAGCGGAAAAGGCGAAATTAGACGCGAGGGTGCCGTCTTTGGACCAATCGTAACTCATCAGCGGCAGAAAAGGTGAAAAGGAAAAGGGCGGGGTGTAAAGTGAGTAGTCGCGGCGACGTGTGTGTGTGTGTGTGTGCGAGGGTGTATAAGGAAGTTGAATTATAAAACGGGGGCGCCGCACATAAGAAGAAAGACACGACGTCGGCGCAAGGGCAAAGGAGATACACAGTAGGAGGAGCGAAAGCACCACCCGCGGATAACACCGGCAATGTGTGAGCCGCCGCCTAAGACAAAAGTCGGCCCCGAATAAAAGCTCCATTTAAAAATGAAATTAATTCAAAATTATTAAACCAAACAAATCACCTGGTCCATATCGAGTTGGGATCGAATTGGGGTGGCACGTTCTTGTTGCAGAGGACAAGTGAGCACTGCTGCTTGCCGACGGTGATGCTGAAGCGCGGCCAGTTCTCCAATTTGGTCAGCCGGCCGACCGACCGACCGACCGACCACTCCCTCATCCCACCCTGTTGAAATAATCTGAGAATATACACGAGTACGTGTAGTGCCGACGCCAACACATTCAATGCGGACTCCCGCATGTGCACTGCAAATTATTATCACACGCTATAGGTAAATGCGTCGGATTGTACGGCTACTATTTGTGCACACAGCTGGTCACCAAGCTTGAGAGCGCCCATGCGTGGAAATAAGCGGCCATCAATCACGCCAATGACTAGTGGGGAGAGGAGCTTTTCTTATTTTAGACCAGACTTAATCTAAAATGAATAAGTTCAATAAGGAGGCCACCTTTCCTGAGTCGTAAAAGAAAAACAGTACAAGCTAGGCTATGTCTAAGATAAAAGACTAGTTTAAAATAAATAGCGACAAAGTGCTGACGACATGAACAGGTCTGTAATGATGGCAAAAAAACAAAACAAACAAAAAGTAATATTTATAATAAACAATATCAATTTCAGGGCTATTTATTTTGTATGTTCTGTCTTTGTATTTTTTTTTTTTTTTGATGTAATTTCTCTCTCTTGTAATCAATGCAATTTATAATATTGAATGTATGGATGATGTATTTGGGCAGAGAATGCCCGGTGGTACATTAATAAACACAATTGTAACTAAAATATTCAGAAACTGTAGATTGCGAAAAAAAACAAGTTGGAAAGAAAACGTCATGTTTTAATAGAAATTATTTGGCATGGTTCAACTACTGTTTTATTAACTGAATTTCTTTTATCAAATTTTATAGTAAAATTTTCAAAATTTTATATAAGATTAAAATTTACTATTAAATAATACTGCTCATACAAAATAAATGTAGCATAAATTAAAATAATAACTTTTCATATATTTCTGTTTATTAAAAGAGTATTTATAATTTATTTTTATAAAATTATTACTTTTATTATCAACTCTAATTATTTGCCAATAAGATTATTATATTATAATCTAGTTTTAATTGCTTTTGAGGTATTATTATTTAGTATGCCTTTGCAATTCCACACCATATTAACTATAAAACATTATATTGATTACCTAGCCTGCGTGTTACTAGTATTAGCTATTAAATAATTATTTACATAAAAAAACACCTGGTGTTAAATCCTCCTTAACAATAAATAAATAAACCAGATTAGATGTTCCAGAGACTTTGTTTCACAGGTTGAAATTATAGTTAAAATAGAGTAAGAATTTTGAACTTCTGAATGTAATTGAATCTGAAGATTCCATTTTTTTTTGTCTACTTTTTTCTCTTTAAGATAAGGAATTAGCCTGCCCTGCTTTCATATTTTCAATCAGGCCAATGACCAGTGGGGAGAGGAGCATCTTATTGTAAAAATATTCACAAATTATAAAGAACTAAATAGCCATGTTTGCTTTTACACGTTTATGAGCTCAATCAATTCTGTTATATTATTTCTTTATACCCTTCTTACACCTTGATGACTTGTTTTTTTTTTTAATTTTTTAATTTTGAATTCAGTGCTGCCGTCGAATATTAAACATAAATAACCGTCATTCATCAATCACCAAAAAGGCAAAATCCGATTCTCAAGTGGTGAATGGAACTGTATAATATTGCATGGACACAAAATATGCCTTTTGCATGCGCTGGCTGTGTGTGAAAGGAATCAATTAATTAATGTGCTCAGGCCGATAAGACACTTTTGTCTTGGCCTGACTCAAATTTAAATTATTAGATTATTATTATTCAATTTGTAATTGTGCTGAAATTTGGATGTAAGAGGCCAGGGTTAAATATTTAGGTAATTAATTATATCACAGCTCTTTTAAACACATCTACTCAAAAATTAATCAATTCGCATTATTCTAGTTTCAAGTGGTATTTGCGTGGGCAAAATAAGTTAAGTTATAAACAAATTTAATGGTGATTTGAATTTAAAACAACAACATCAAATTTAATATCAAATTTAATTTATTTTCATAAATTTGAATGCTCTTGTGAATTCAATATGCAAAATTAATGGAGTATTCATCTAAAACAGATGAACAGTTAATCAAGTCGGCAATATAGAAGGGCTTTTATACCCATTGACTAGTATGGTAGATGAAAATAATGTGCGGGTAAAATGAGAGATTTTAATGCGCGATGCCTCTTATTTTTTATCTCCCTGCTCAGTCTTCAGTACAACTTGCTTGCGCACATATGGGCATGACGTAATCAACGAATAACGTAGAGGAAAACACAGATGTTAATTACAAAATGGAAACTTAAAAAACAACAAAAATGCAGTATATTTTTAAGTGACTTCCTTAGAGTAATTTCAATATGATTTAAATAATTAAAATGAAATAAAAATTAAATATGAACATTCTGTAAATATATAATTGTTTGTTTATTTCAACGTGGTGGCGAAATTCTGATTTATAAAATCCAATGAAATTTATCACAAACGTCAAACAGTTACATTTACTAATTAGTCAATCAAAATTAATTCACTTCTTAAAGTGCTGCGATGAGGAACATTTTTTTTTTGCACTGTTATTATTAAAACAACATCAAAGTTTGGAATAAAGAATTTGCTTGTTACTAAAAAATAGTAAATAAATTAATTAATTATCTTTACTAAATTTGATAAATTTACTTTTTTTAATTATTAAAATTTGAAGTTTTCCATTCGTCTATAAATTGATTTGATTCGCGGAAAAAATTGCACAAAAAAAATGCATAAATGATTTGTGTTTACGTTGAGAGATCGTTGCCCATTTGCCTGAATACGAGGCGCAGATTTGGACTGCACTCGCCGTGGCCACTTGGGCCACACTGGCGATTTTCCACGCTCGCTCTCTTTTCCCACCCGCGTGGCGCGGGGTGTCGTAAAAAAGCGGCCTTTTTAACACACAGTGCCGCGCACTCTTTTTCACAGACAGTGGAATTGCGCAGGGCAGATAAAAAAGCGGCGAGAGGGGGATCGAAGGGATGAACTGGACCAGAGAGTGGGAAATAAAAAATTTCCAGCGCAGTGTGCCGGGGCAGCCGAAAAAAGAAGTGCGCCGAGAAAATTTATCCCCCTTGACCGGCGGCGAGAGAAACACAATCGCAGGTAACGTCTTGAGAAAGTTGGGCTTGAGAGGGTCAGTTTTGAAGTGAATGGAGGGTTGCACGCCGTTCGGGGGGTAATTAGAACATCTCGGCCATTGGGTGTGGCGGCCAAGTGAATATATCCGACCACGGAAATCTTAGTTAGTGCGGAGAGCTTCCTTATTAAGTTATCATTCAAATCCATTAGCACCTCAACAAATTCCTGTTGCAAGATCAAAAAGCTAGAATTAAAAAAAAAAACTTTAATTTCTTCTAATTAAATATAAATGTTAAATAAATAATTTATTTTTCTCTTAAAGAAAATAAATTACTTCATCACTGATGTATTTAAAAAAAAAAAAAAAAAATTGCGTTATTTGTGAGTTTCAAATCAAATATTTGTTATTTTGATGTTTTGAAATGCGAATAAATTTTAATAATTTGCCCCTGGGAGCTCCCGCCGTGTGTTTTCCAAGCACATTTTGAATTGATTTGTGGCCGGTGCGCGCGTATCAAAGAGTTCTGCAGCCGCTTATTTGCCTGGAAACAGTTCTAATTAGCAGGAAGATGCCTGAATGAATAATATCCGACGCGAAATGTTTTGCGGCGTGGCATTTTCTCATTAAGACGTGGAGCGAAATGTTTATAATCTGCTTTCATGGAACGTCAGAAACATGGCGCTCGAAAACAAACACACATCAACTCTGAGAGTTGGTGCTGCTGCTGAGTATTAAACTTAAATAACCGTCATTCATCATTCACCACAAAGGCAAAATCCGATTCTCAAGTGGCGAATGGAGGTGAACTGAATAATATTGCAGAGACGTATAAAATCTGCTTCTTGCATTGCGCCCGCGAATGTGAAAGCCTGCTGTGTGTGAAAGGTATCAATTAATTGGAATAATTCAGCTCGAGAGAAAACGTCAAGTCTCAATAGAAATTATTTAGCATTGTGCGATTGTTTTCCTTTAATGAAATTTGATAGTATAAAATTCTCAGTATTTTATTTTAACAAAATAAATTATTCATTTAATAATTACACAGGATAAAAATAGCATTTATTATATTGTTAAACTTTTTCTTTATTTTTAATTAATATTTTTTTATATTAGTAAATATATAAAATATATTTTATATTAAAATTGTTTATATTATTGATTTAAAAGATACATGTAAATAAGATGCAACCACTAAACCTGAACAAGTTGGAATTGCGTTGCAGGTATTATTATATAGTAATTGTTTGTACATAATTATTAAAAGAAAAAATTAATACACATTTAATCACTCTGCTAGGATTTTTGGTTGAATGTAGCTATTAAATAGTAGTTAATAATATAAATAATAAACATCATGAGAAATATTAGGGATGAAATTTTCCTTCAAAGATATTGATGGAGAATTACCAGAGACTTTGTTTGCGGAGGTTGCTTAAAAATAAAGTAATGTAGTTCATTTTTAACTACAATGAAAATTTTAATTTAATGACAGTTAGGATTCTGAGCTTCTGAATATAATTTAATCCAAAGATCCCAAATTTTCTATGCTTTTTCTCTCTCTCCAAGATAAGGAATCAGCCTGGCTTTCCATCTATAATTACAAAATTTCCAATATCAATGGAAGTTCTTTAAATACTCATGAAATAGTAATTGTAAGTAAAAAAAATAAATATTCAAATATTAAAAAAAGTCCTTAATCGATTTTTTTTCGGTTTCTTATTTGATTGATACAGTTTTTTTTTTACTTTTATACTGTGCTTTATTTTTGGCGACAAAAAGCATTTAGGTGCTTTTGTTAATTTTGCACATGAGATTCATGTTGTTGGATAAATTTGCAAATTACGCCTTTTGCTCTTTCACACGTGCA